AAGTGAGGAACCAGGCCTCAGGGATCTGCTCTCCAAACCTAGTGGATCTCCAGCCAGGAGGACCAGAAGCTATATCCTCCCTAAGCCAATGGATTTGCCTAGAAGCCTTCAGCTCACTCCACTCCCCTTCCCTCCATTCAGGGCACACTCCTCACTCCCAGAAATGCTGTCCATTGGGTGGTCCAGCCCAGGTCAGAGGCTGGGAGCAGCTGAGGCTAGCTGAGGGGTGCCGGAGACCTGAGAGTTTTTAAACCTTAGGAGGTCAGAACTAAAAGGCTCTTAAGCACTCGTTAGCACAATCACTCCTTTTACACACAGGGACACTGAGGCCCAGAAGACAAGGACTTTTCCCAAAGTAAAGTGAAGTGGATCCAAATCTGAGTTAAAAATATATCTAACCCTGAAGTCTTCAGAAAAGTAAGGGAGAGCAAAGGCTATATATATATATATATATATATATATATATATATATATATATGACTGTGTGTGTGTGAGAGAGAGAGAGAGAGAGAGATTTCGAGAAAGAGAGAGAGAGAGAGAGAGAGAGAGAGAGAGAGAGAAACATCAGCATTTCAAAAGAAGTAAATTTGCTAAACAAAGGGATGAGGGGGCGATGGAGAGAAAAAGCACTCAAGGATTGGCTCACCAAAATTTAATTTTTATTCTTTTGATGGGTTTTGGTTGCCTTTGCCCACAACTCACAGTGTGACAAGCCCTGGGCTGAAGGGTCCAAGCAGCTAGCTAAACTACCAAGGCAGCACTGCGCTCCACCCTGCTCTACAGAGATCCTCTTTCTTCGGGTTAAAAAAAAAAAAGAAAGAAAGAAAAAAGAAAACACAAAACACCCACAAAAAAACACAACACACAGTTAACCACCTGTCAGGGCTGAGGATACAATGAGGCTCCTGGAAAAAGAGCCTTTCATGCATGCGTAATATATTTGTTCAGCTATTCACTTAATGAAGCTGATAAATGTGATGCAAGACAATAGTCAAGTTAATCTATTTAGTAAAATGTTTTGAGACTTTCAGGCTACGTTAAGGAGGGGAGCTGCCGGCGACATTTTCATTTAAATGCGCTCATCTCCCCTCGTAGGCTGCACAAGGGGGTTCAGGCAATCTATGTGAATATAATTTCTTATAAATGTGTCTTTAATGGGTTTAATTCACCCTTGCCAGCTGTTTTGGGGGCTATTTTGTAAGAGCAAAACAAACGTTTCAGGCTTGGAAAGCTAGTTAAAATTAGTTTCGGTCAGCGAGGCCAAGCTATATTTCCTGCAAACCATCTGCTTGATTGGCACAATAGAAGGATTTTCAAGGAAAAGGGGGGGGGGTGAGTGTGAAAGGAATAGGGGGTGGGGGGAGATGCTAGAAAGGGCTGGGCGGCCGGTAGCTCCTTGTGGCCTATTCTAAAGGTGAGCCCTTAGCGGTGTCTTAATAGAGCGGCTTGCCTGGACACTGGGGCGGTAGGACAGCTCTTTCAGCCCAAGCCTCGCCCTCCTCCTTTGCCTAGCGGATCGGCTCTCTCTTTCCTCCTAAAACTACAGAAGCCAGGCGGCGGGTGCTCCCCCCTCCCAACCCCCCACCCGGACGCCGCTGCCGGGTGTCCTGCCAAACTTGCAATATCCGCTCTGTTGGAAGCTCCAGCCCGCTATGCGAAGTAGAACCTCAGGGCCCAAACCTTCCCTAACTTAGTCACTGCATCTTTTCGGAGGACCGGGAATCTGAAGCCGCTCTCTATTTTGCAGCGCCTTTCACCCCCTCCTGGGCCAGCGCTCACCAGGGGCGCTCCGGGCTCGGCCCACTCTGGAGAGGGTCTTGCGAGCAAGGAAAGCGCAGCGCATTGGGTTGGGATGCTCCCACTCTCCCCTGTCCTGGGGAAAGAATCCCTCAGAAGCGGTTCTGAGAGCCCGTCCTGTGGGTCCAGGGAGCCCCCCAGGAGTCCCGCCCGCTCTGCTGCGGCCTCCCGGGCCCAGCAAACGCGCTCACGGCACTGGCTAGGATCCGGATAGGGCCTGCGATTCTCTCTTTTCCTCCCCTGACTTCTTTTCCCTTGAAAGAGAAACAGTCAGCCCAGCGCTGGGATAGAGGGCGCGAGTGACTTATCCGACATAAACTTGAAGATAACGACATTACAATGAATGGCAGGGCGCACAACCCATGGGCTCAGGTCAAACCGCATTAGTCACAGGTCTTAGCCGACGCGCCGCGCCGCGCGGCCCCTAGGCTATCCAGGAGTTTCAAAAGACGCGTTCAAGGAGATCACGGAAAGTAAGATCCTTTCGTCCGATTTCTTGCTACCTTCGCATTTATTTTGCCTTTTCTCGGGCGGCCAGCCTTCTCTCCCGCCCTCCCTGTTCGTCTTTGGCGCCTTAGGAATGCTTGCAGACCTCTGGAAGTGGGGTCCACGTGGGTCGCAGTAAGGGGTTGACCCACAGTCAAAAAAAAAAATGTCAGCGCCCCTTTTCCGAAGAAGAGAAGAGAGCAGCGGTTAGTCTGTAATGAGGTCGAGTGGCCGTGTGTGTGTGTGTGTGTGTGTGTGTGTACGTGTGTTTGGGGTGGAGCGTGTCAGTGGGCAGGATAATAACTGTAATAGCTACTCCCAGGAGAAGGTCCCAGCGGGAGAGAAGGCCCAGGGAAGGGGGGCGCTAGGAAGGCCGCAGGCTGGCTTTGAGTTCTTACTGCTCCCCAAACAGAACCCTGCAAACACAGACTGTATTTTGATCTCCCGAAGCTGAGCAAGCACTTCCTAGATGAGAAACCCCGCACCTGTAGTTGCTGCCCAACTCCTTCCCACTGCTCCCCGGAGGGAAGAAGGGAAGAAAGGAGAACGAAGGGGATAGGCGCGGCCGGGGAGAGAATACAAAAATACAGAGTCCTTGAGGATGGTGGTGATTGTGATGGAAAACTTGGTCTTGTGGCAAAGTTAAAGCTCAGGTGTCCACATGCTTTAGATTTTTCTCCCTTACTATATTGGAAAACTTCCCCCCACCCCCCAAAAAAGGTAACTTTTAGAGTTCTTCATAGACCTCCCTGTTCCGGGGTCTCCAGTGAACTGGAGCCACGTACTTTCCGTATTTAAATAGTCACTTATTTAAAAGTCGTTCCTTGCCCTCCGGGCTCCCGCCGCCCAGGACGCGTCCACGCGCAGTCAGGGGCGCAGACACTCCATCCTTGCACCGCCTTCGAGTCCTGATTCATTCGGCTCCAGAGCCCGCCCCTCAATAACTTTTTAATTTGAATCGAGGGAGAACTTCAGCAGGCCCCGTTTCTGGCTTAATGTGATATAAATCGCAGATGCACTTTTATTGAATGGTTAAAGCAGCGACATGGAGATCATCAACAAAAAAAGAATGCCTCGAACAAAACCATCCGGAGAAATAAAGCTGGTTAATAAGATTTTTGAGAAAGCTTTGTGTTAAAAAGCAAAAAGGAAAACCAGCTGAAGGTGACAGTTAGTTCATGGTTAATAGGATCAGGGAGGCCTGGCGAGGCTGCACACTTCTCTTGGGGGAGGGTCAGCCTCGCTACAGAAATGAATGGGACGTTTAACGCATCTGTTATCTCGCAGAGCAGAGAAACCGGGGATCCAGGCTCAGCGCCCCCTCAGAGGACAGGGAAGGTCTGTCTGCAGGAATAGTCTTGTCTGAGGCCCCAATCAAGGATGGGCTTTCCTGATGTGGACCGACATTCTTGGGAAGCGCGGCCTTCGCTCTGTTTTCGGGCGTTTGTACATGGCAGTTAGTTAAGAAGCTGCAAAACCTTGACCAAGTTAAGCGCCCCGCCACGAGTAGGTAGGGCAGCTCCCTATCTTCACTACTGTGGCTTTAAAGTTCAGGCTGTAAGTGAATTTCAACGGAAACTGCGCAAGGCTCCTTGAGGTTGTAGAACCGCCTGCGTAGCCCTGGTTGTACTCCGAGCGCCCTGGGTTAGGCAGCTTCTGGCCCGGAAAGCCCTTTGCAAGCGGAAACCCTCCGCGGAGAGGTGCTCCCTTCTGCCCGAACCCCAGGCGAGCCGGTTGGTGACACCCCTAGAGAAAAGTGGCTGAAAATCGTTTTTCAAGTTGCTGGGAGTTTACCTAAGGAGACTTTTTTGACTGCTCAGGTACCCACCAACGTGCTCAAACCCAACGAGTTTCGCATAATGAAATAACTCAAATCAAGACCTCTCCTCTCCACTCCTAGCAGCCAGTTCATCATTTCAAGCCCCCCTGGGTTGTTAGAGCGGCATCCCCTCCACACATTGACTCAACCCACCTCTCACATCTGTTTTGTGCCTCAGCTGCAGTAACGTTTAGGACTAGAGACGGAAGAGGGAGTATATTTTCATGTTCATTGACTTGAAATTTTCCGTTGCCCTCCCCCCCCAAAGAGGGAGGATTATTTTACTGATTGCCTGGAGGTGAATTTCTATGAATATTTATTGATTTATTTTCTAGGCTCAGCAGGGGAGCTGCAAATAAATTTAGTGCGTTCTTTAAATAATTCCTTTTCTATGAGGCAAGATGTCATCTGAAACTCCTAAATAGGCATTTAATTAGCCCGGCATTGCTTCGGAACAAAAACTCCCGGCCAGAGCTTTGGGGATGCGCTGTCTTGCAAAGAGGCGGTCGATGTGCAGAATTGATGCGCGCCGGCCTTTGTTGCCGGCCCCATTGTGCGGGCGATGCTTATGAAGACTAATCCAATCATAAATTGCACCCCTGCGCCAATCAGAGCGCCCAGAGCCTCTGGCGAATGAAGCTCGAGTGGAGAACTTTGTTGAACTTCATTGTCAGAGCTGTCACTTTTCAAAGCGCTTTAGCGGGCGGGCCCTATAAAACCATCACCTCGACGGGAGGACCGCGGAGGACTCGCGGGCGCCCAAGCGGCAGCGTTCGTTATTTGGAGACTTTTGCTAAGCCCAGGAGAGAGGGTACCGCGGGGGCGGGAGGGGCGGGAAGCGAGGCATTTACCCTTCCGCCACTGGAAGAAGGGCTATTACGCCCGCCTCGCGCCTAACATGATGTTCCCTGGGCTCCTCGCGCCCCCCGCCGGGTACCCCAGCCTCCTGCGCCCCACGCCCACCTTAACGCTGCCCCAGTCTCTGCAGTCGGCATTTTCCGGACACTCCAGCTTCCTGGTCGAGGATCTGATCCGCATCAGCCGACCCCCTGCCTACCTGCCCCGCAGCGTGCCCACGGCCAGCATGTCGCCCCCCAGGCAGGGGACCCCGGCGAATCTCACAGACACCGTGGCCTCGGACCTGGGCTCCCCTAGTCCGGGCAGCCGGCGAGGCGGATCGCCGCAGACGGCTGTCTCCCCTGCCAGCGAGCCTACGTTTCTGAAGTTTGGAGTGAACGCCATTCTCTCCTCCGCGCCCAGAAACGGTAAGTGAGCGCACCACGCTGAGGGCCCGGCCAGGTGCGGCGTCCTTCTCGCCTCAGTTTCCTGTACGCGGCGGGTACTCACGCACACCCCGGCGCACACGGGTGAGCGCGATCCCGGAGGCCTCACGGGAGACTTAGGTTTGGCGGATTCCCGGGAAGAAAAGTCTCCAGGCTCGCCCCACCCTCAGGATGAACTTGAGCCGTTCAGGCGCCGGGAGCGCACAGTTCTCCAGCGCAGCTCAACTGAGCGCGCGCTGCGGGGCGTCTGCGTTTTGGCCCTCCAGCCTCAGGGAGCCAGTTTTTTTTTTTTTAATTTTATTTTAACCCAAGACAATATATTTACTAGCTTAGTTGGTATATGGATCTGCAATTCTTATCTCACTCCTACCTATCTCATTAGTACCTAGAATAAGATGCGGGGGGGGGGGGAGACAACTCTGAGGACTATTTTTGGGATGAAAGGAAGAATTTCCACAGATGAGACATGTTAGGAAAATATTCGATTTTATTCCGTCAACACATTGAGGAAGATGCCTTTGAAACCAGCCTAGGGGTTAATCATATCCTGTATTCAATGAGCAGAATAATCAAGTGCGTGATCAAATTCCCTTTCTGTCTCCCTCTCTTGTCCTCCTCCCTCCTTCTCTTCCAGAAGCATCCCCCGCCTTGCTCCAGAGCGGCCCTCCCAAGACCTTCGCCTTTCCCTACTTTGAAGGTTCCTTCCAGCCTTTCATCAGATCTTCGTATTTCCCAGGTAGGTCTCGCCCCCCTCCCCTTCGCGAGGCTGAGCGGCGCCCCAGTTCCAGCCCGTCGCTCCCTGCCCCGAAGCCATATTTCTCTGTCCACCCCTCGGGGTTATGCTCTGGTTCAGAGGTTGCGAGGCGTACAACATTCACGAATCCGTCGCGCCAATTTGATGCCCTATTTAGCACAAGCGGTGACTGCTTGACACTTTGCACCAATTCCCTGCTCTACAAATTAGCAGGAATTGTCATGGTCCCAATTTGAGGCGGTTCCCTCCCCGGCGAGGAGCTGTTGGCATCCCTTCACGCCGCCGTTTTCCCACAGAGTCAGTGCACTTGGCCACGATTCCCCACAAAGGTTTCAGCACCATGACCAATTGGTCAGCTCCTCCGGGCAGCCACCCACAGACCGGCCCTAGCCCCTCCGAACTACCCAGAGACACCTACCAGCCGGGGCTAATTTCCTTTTAAAACTCATTCAGGGCTCCGGGCTTTCCACGAGACCACATGGGGTGCCCTCTTGTGTGGGATGCCTGGGGTCGCCCTGGGGGAGGGAGGCTGGACCCTCCCACAACCCCCAAACTTCTTTATCCAACCTGATTTCTCAACCTCTTCTCATTACCCCCCCCCCAGCCATATTTTTTAAAAGGACCCTTAGGCTGATAAAATAAGTCTGAGGGAAGCCCGGAATTGTTCCTCGTCTAAAAGAGAAGCACCTTCAACAGGTTCCACGAGGTTTTTCATCCTGGAGCCTCAGGGGTGGCTCAAAAACTCTGCGCCTGGTCAAGACTCTGAAGGCCACCGAGGAGCCCCTAGACAGAGAGGAGACGGGCATGGTCGGTGGGGGATGGGAAAGCCAGGACCGCACTCCCAACTATCAGCCAGAGAAACAAGCAATTGCTTTTTAAAAGGAGGAGAGAGAATTCACCAACCACCACCACCACCATTCATGCTGCGGCTGATAATGGAATTTGCTCCCTTTCTCTCCCAACTCAATGCTCTAACAAAAACAACCCGAGCTTTATAAATAGCTTTTCATGTCCATTTAATGAAAATGATGCGGGAGAGAGAAGCCTCTGCCATCAGTATTCTCCCAATGGTCTTGGCCTGCAGTTGTGTTTAGTTTGAAAGTGTAAATCTCTTTTGTCCCAGTAATATATGGCTTTCGCTGCTTGTCCTCAGTCTTTTTCTGTTAGTTCATTACTACACAATTACCATTCACGCTTCATTAGAGTCTCTGTTTCTTTTGGGTCCCCCCCCTCCCTTAAAGCGAAACTCTCCCCCTTTTTATCACGCCAATACCCATTGGGAACCGGTCAATGTGCTAATTAGCTGCCACTTTTCATGTATTCCGGCCGAATTCTTTACGTTTTGTGGGGGAGGGGAGGAAAGATTAATATTTAAAAAAAAAAAGATGAATACTGATTGGGTTTTTAAAAAAAATCCAGAGGATTTTCTCCTCGCTATCGAATCAGTAAAGCGCCTCATTTTCATCGAAAGAAGGCAAAAGCCGCGGACGTAATAAAAGCTTAAGAGGGAAACCCAGTGGCCTCAGCTGCGCAGTTTATTGTTGTGATTTATTTTTGCTGTTGCTGTGTTCGCTGATGTCCGCAGGTTTGTTTCCCTGAGACCGTTAAATGGAAAAAACGCAAACAGGCTACTGTGGGAGCTGTTTTCTGTGTTTCCGTAGCTTTACCTAATGCGGGTTTGCACGGTTGAAAGGGGACGTTATTTGGGCGGAAAGCGCCTTTCGCTCTCGAAGGTTTGCGGGTTCGCGTCCCGTTCTGCGGGGAGGGCGGGGCGGGGGGGAGAAAAGGGAGAACTTTAAAGAGATGAAGGGATCAGAGAGAAAGCCCGGGGAGGTG